ATTATTCTAATTAGGAAGAACAATCTATACAAAATTTTGCTATAACCCACCAAAAAAAATTACAAAATGATGTTTAACTTTGATTTCAATCATACGCTTGAGCCGGACTTCGACAACGATTTTGATGCGGACTATTCATAGATATTCAAACAAGATATTTTAATTTGGCTCGATATTTGTCGCTTACCTATTGTGTCGTGCAACATTACTTTGGCCATTCCAGGCATAGAATTCAAAGATACCCTAGAGCTCAGAATGAACACTTATTCATTCTCGAGAAGCTTTGGAAAGTAAGGACCATATATCATTATAGGAGATCTAAATGTATTACCATATGTCCGTTCATTTCATCCATACCTTCACGTGAGTATGGCTAACAAAATCATACTGATGTTGATATATATGAAACAAGTCCGTTTATGGCCGATCATCTTAGCGCACAACAAGGGCCATCGATAGATACAGACTTTTTTTTTTTGGTCACTCATTGCAAATCATCAACCCTTATTTCAATACTATTTTATGAGTAGTGGTAAGATTTGGCACACAACTATTCAAACCTGAGCCCAACTACAATCACATTCTACCTCACTTTCGGTCCCCATCCTGACAATCACCTCATTTTCTAGGTTAGTTGTGTATTATGTTAGCAATATCCCACAACCTAGCAACATAAATGATGAGGATCAAATAAGTGATAAGAACACCAAAAGATCTTAGAGTGTTAAGGTTGTGAATCCTCACAACAATTACAAAACCAGTGAAGACAATTTGAATAATCTAGAAGAGTTGGGGTCTACAAATTCAAAACAAAAGATAATCCAACAAGATGAGAACGACGCAATCTTCAAAAATAATGTATTAACTCAAATTCAAATCCAGGTGTAAAATCAATCAAGTAATAGAGTCCAACGGAAACGTAGAGTTATTAGTTTATTATTCGATAGTTGTTATTTTTCTTTGAATAAACACTAGTAACAAAAATATTGAAGAGTTATTACTCTTATTTCATTGTAAATAGGAATCACTGTGTGGTAGGCGATCATGACCCATGGTCATTATTCAACAAAGTTATAAACAATCTTTTATCATTGTAAAGTTCTCTTTTTAAATTTTTTTTGAGTATTAGAGTCATTGTGAACACTCAACACACCACAACTCTTTTCTTCCACCATGACTTCAGTATCCCTATATGTTGGCAATTTCATTACACTCAGACTTACCTACCAATTACCCCCTATAGAATGAACAAGCCTTGGCTCTTGTAGAAAGCGAAGAACTGATCGGTCATCTCACCAATGAACACCCTGCAAAAGTTCGATCATCTTCTACGACCTTCATGAAACCCAAGTTGAAACCAAAAACTCACTATCAACTATTGCGTATGTAGCCACACAACAATGTGATCCTCACTCATCTTATATAAATTCTGATCCATCACTCACTCATCTTATATTAATTCCGATCCATCAAATACATCACACCAAATCCAAACAACGCTATAGAAATAGAATATTTCATACCAAAATTAATAAACGAGTCAAGAACAGATTGGTTATCTCACTAATGAAGACCACGTCCCCCACCGTATATATCACACTAAATGCAAACAACACCACAGATAAGGTTATGAATCCTCAAAATAATTTCAAAGCCAGTGAAGACAGTTTGGGTAATCTAGAAGAGTTGAGGTCAATAAATTCAAACCAAAGGATAGTCCAACAACATAAGATAAGCACAATCTTAAATTATAATGTAATAAATCAAATTCAAGTCCACGCGCATTAATAAAATCAGTCAAGTAACATAGCCCATCGAATTGCGGAGTTGTTAGTTTGTTATTTGATATTTGTTATATTTTCGTTAGATAACACTAGCCACAAAATAATGAAGAATTGCTAATCTTATTACATTATAAATAGAAATCAATATGTGGTAGGAGATCATGGGCCATGATCATTATTCAATAAAGTTATAAACAATCTTAGGGTCCGTTTGATTTAAATATGGAATTTGGGTGAAAAGAAAACGAATTGTAGAGAATTGAATTGCCTAAAACTTGTTTTGCTGGGAATTGACAATTAATTGTGTTTGATTTGTATAATTTTTCACCTAAAAAATGTTGAAATTTTCTATCTTTTGGTGTTCGTTTAATTTTGTTTTTCATGAAAATTGTCAATTAAAGGGATATAATTTCTTACAATTTGGGATATAATTTGTTTGGATTGCCAAAAAAAAAAATTGATGTTCGTTTGACTTTATTTTACATGAAAATTGTCAATTAAAGAGATAATTTTTTTATTTTTTTTACAATTGAGGATATAATTTGTTTCTATTACCAAAAAAAAAAAAAAGATGGAACTAAAGCCAAGTATTGGGAAAAAAAGCCATCAAACATGGCAAAAGTGAGAAATGAAATTTCAATTTCATTTTTCATGTAAAAAAGGCCTATCAAATAGGTCATTATATTCACATTTTAAAGTTATAAACATGTTAGTTTAGGTTTACCCCCTTCTCTTCACATAGTTATACAAATCTATAAATTACGGAATTTGACATTAATCTTTTTAATTAGTCTTCCTGGAGATTTTGGCTACGATCCAGTGGGATTAAGTATGCATTCTATACTGTATCTGCAGTCAGATAAGTGCAATCAATTGGTAATTGCTTGACAATGCTAGCAAATACTTTGGTTTTTAGATCATTTCCAAGTTGTAACATAAACAAATAAATTATGTGTAGGTTCTGATCCGGAACTGCTTAAATGGTTTGCACAAGCTGAATTAATGCATGGCAGATGGGCTATGCTTGCTGTTGCTGGAATTCTTACTACAAATTGGCTCGAAAGCCTTGGACTCATTAAGGACTTTCTTGGTACGCTATTGGAGCTTGCAAATACTTTGCAGATCCTACAACTTTATTTTTTTTTTTTTTTGTGCAATTAGCCCTGATGTGGGTGCATAGAGGGCCCGAGATGGGTCGATATGATCTCGAGACATGTCGATATTCAGCCAACATTCCTACACAAGAAAAAGCCTAAGCCTAATATTGGTTATCTTGGTGGTGTGTGGTTTGATCCCTTCATGTGGAGAAAAGAATCGTCCGAGCCACTGATGGTTTTGAGGATGAAAGAAATCAAAAATGGGAGACTTGCAATGCTAGCTTTTGTTTTCCAGACTCTTTGCACTGGACAAGACCCTATTGAGAACTTGATGGCACTCATTGTAGATCCTGACCACTATAGCACTTTTTAGTACTTGTCTCGATTTCTTATCCTTCTGAATTTATTTTTTCCCCAATCAAAAAGAGAACTGTTTTCTCTCTCTCTCTCTCTCTCTCTCTCTCTCTCGTTACCTAGGTTGTCCCATGGAAGCTTATAGCATACACACAGCTTTGATACTGAACTTTGCATTGTTTTTTCAAGCTTTCACATCACAGTAGTCAGTTTGTGGATATGACAGGATTTCAGGAAAGACAAGGCTGTAGGTCAAGCTTAAAACAAGAATTTTGTTGAATAAAACTGCAAAGTTAATCATGTTAAGGAAAAATACAAAAAGAAACTAGAAATACTAATGAAATTATAAAATATTGGAAAGAAAAGCTACAACAAACGGAGTAATAATAAAGAGAGAAGATTTGATTGTTGATGTAGTAGTGATATTAGAAGGAACCAAGGCTTGTGTTGTACACAATTTTTTAAAAATAGATTTACTTCTCACTGTGGTGAAAGATGACCAATGGCGTCTGCCTCCCATGATATAACAACTGAAAACAGTTGGCTAGCACCTTGCCATTGCTTTAGATGAATTGAGAATAATCACACTTCTATTGAGCTAAAATAAAAAACTTATCTAAACTACTAAGAACAAAACATTTGAAACAAAGAGAGAAGAGATTAAATTAGAGAGATGAAATAACTCTTAAATTTTTGTGTACAGAATAAGGAGGAAAACACCTCCTTATATAGTACTACGATGAGAGACGTTTCAATTTTCTATTAATTTTGTGTTAACACAAAAAATGTTACAATAGCAATTGGGGTTTTGTAACCACCAATTCAATTGAAAACTAACTAGAAAATTTGAAATCAAAATTGTCACTCTGTTTGATCTACATTCTTACAAAAATTCATTTTTTCAAAACTCATTTTCAACCATACATTCTTTAATAAAGTAATATTACACGCAAATTCAAAATTTTTCCTTATTTTTTAACCACATATTTTCCATCAAATCACTATTTAAAATGCATTCGCCACTCAGTAATATGCATGAGACAGGGTACATCTCATAATTTATTCAATTCAATGGAAAATTAACCAGAGAATTTGAAATCAAAATTGTTGTTATATCTCATTCACCATTTAATTGATGTTTTCCAACAAATCAATGTTATACAATACATACGTAAAATACCAAGAGTCAAGGAAATACTTGAATCTCTTCATCTTATTTTAATTTTCAACTCAACTCGTAATGTTTAGCTTTGGAATGTCCATAGGGTCGGGCCACCCAAGTCTGATGCGGGACTTCTATTTCTGGACATAAAATTCAATTCGGATATTTTATCCCAAATTAAAACTGAGTTGAAATTGGAATTGAACATCATTAAACATGGTTAATAATTGTAGTAGTTTCTTCATTAACATTGTAAAACTAGAAAAAGAAAGCATATAATGTCATAGAAGATAGTTAAAATTTATTATGAAGACAAGTTTAGGTTGTGTTTCTATGTAACACTGGTCAACCTTGGT